CAGGCACACACAGGCAGGAACAGGTAACAGACATTTTACAAAAACAAGTTTTATGCCTCTGTAAAAAAACAAATGACTGAAGTCAAATTTAAATAGTATATGTAAGAGTTAAAGTTGTGTTTGGTTTCAGCTAAAGTTGAACATACCTGAAAACTCAACCTGAACCAGGAAATACCTTCAAACTGAACAAGCCTGTAAAACCAAATGACTCTTGTTCGTTCTTCAGTTTAACTCCAACACACTGAACATGGTGGCGAAGCTAGTGATCCTGTTCCTCCTTTTTCACGCTGCATCTACAGGTAAGATTGGGATCCACAATCAAAATATATAATAATTTACTTGGCAATGCTATTCTTAGGAAAATGCAACTAAAATGTGTCAGCAGACAGGTGAATCTAACTGTACAAGTTAAAAAGATTAAAAATGTATTTACAACAGATGTGACAAATAAATGCACTGCTCTGATAGTTGTGTGTATTAGATTTAGTGAAAGAAAGCAGTAAGAGACACTTCAATAACTACTTAAGCTAAACACACAGAACCTTTAAAACAGATATGTACATGTTAGAGCATTTATAATTATACAATATAATTATAATTAAAAGATTAAAGATACCCAAAACTGGTGAAATTTTCACTTTTCAACCATCAAAAGAATGTGAACCGGTTGCTGGTTCAATTTCAGCTGGAGAATTACTTGAACATCTGGCATAAAACTCTGCCAACACAGATACTGCTAGCTGCTGTGGTGATTTTTCAATAATAAATAATAATGCGCAATTGTAGACAAAGGAGATTATAGCCCTTCTCAAGGATTTACAAGAATCACAGTTTCCATGGGAGATTCAAGTAAGGTGTCCTAATGATTTATAATTACTGAATTAATGTTTTTGACACTACTGTTTCTATTTAGTGCATGTGTAAAAAAACAAAACAAAACAAAAACCCTTTCTCATTTTTTTTTGCTGTTTGTGAAGCCTAATATAGACCATCCAATCACTTAAACACTGCAATTCAAGGTATAATCAAATCAATGTTATCCTATTGGAATGACTACTGGGATATAGTGGATCTCCATTCACTCATATCAGGATAGAGAGATGCACACTGCGCTGTAAATTCATTAAAATATCTCAATAAAAACCGACTCTGCTCAAGGAGGAAATAAAACAGTACTTTTGTTTGGGGGAAGAGAGGTTGGAGAATATCCTGGTCTACAGTTGTGTTTATCTCTGTATTCAGAGTTGATAATAATAGTCCAACAGGAAAGCAGCATCCATTCGACATTTAATCCTGGAAATCCACACCTTCTCAAAGTTATAACCCACACTGAAAACAATGGAAATCTTGGGAAGTTGCAATCCACCAGGAAAACAATGGAGTCTAAATCCTTCTGAGTTAATAATCCAATATGGCAAAGAATGAGCAGAGTAAAAGTGAAAAATAAATAATACTAAAAACAACTTGCAAGTGCACAGTTTGAGCAGTGGTTCAGGCCACTTAGTTCTCTGCTGGAATTTCCAACTGAGAGCCAATTATCTGAGCTGCTCATCTTACAGAACACAAAGGGAAGAACAAAGAATGTTCCTGGGTGCCCTCTTTTTCTATGCTGCCAAGTGGACATTTGCCTCCCTCTCTCTCTCCCCCTGTCTAGCATTTACATAAAGTCATCTGACTTTTACACATGCATTATTTAAAGTTTAACTTTAAAATCACTTCATCACATTTTCTTCTTTTCTGTGTTACTCTCAACATAGAAAAATCCATTACATATGAACATTCAGTCACATATGAATATACTTCACGTAATGGTTCATTCATTACATGTAGAATACCAGTCAAAATTTTGGACATATCTTCTCATGTTTTTTCTTTATTTTCATGACTATTTACTTTGTTGATTCTCACTGAAGACATCAAAACTATGAATGAATACATATGGAATTATGTAGTAAAAAAAGTGTGAAATAACTCAAAATACATTTTATAGTTTAGACACTTCAAAATAGCCACCCTTTGCTTTGAATACTGCTTTGCATACTCATAGCATTCTCTCGAGCTTCATGAGGTTGTCACCTGAAACGGTTTTCCAACAGTCTTGAAAGAGTTCCCAGAGATGCTGAACACTTGTTGGTTCTTTTGCCTTCACTCTATGGTCCATCTCATCCCAAATCATCTCAACTGGGTTTATTTGCTTTGTTGGTTATTATTATTATTATTATTATTATTATTATTATTATTATTATTATTATTATTATTATTATTATTATTAATCTATGTTTCTGTTTTTTCGTGTTTAGGGATTCGTTCTTAGGGTTTGTGTCTCATGTTTAGTGTAGGTTCAGTTCTGGCTCTAGTCTGCGTCTTTGTGTGGTGGTTTCTTGTTTCCTGTTTTATTGTGAAAGTCCGTGTCTTATGTGAGTGTATTCAGTTTTGCCTCCCTTGTCTCGTCTCGTCAATTACTTCCAGCTGTGTTCCCCACCTGTGTGTAATCTCCCTGTGTTCTTCTGTGTGTATTCAAGTCATGTCTTCTTATATTGTAGTCACTGGTCTGTCTGTGAATCTACTGCGCATCGTCCATGTGCCTCTGAGCACCCTCCTTCTTGTTTGCGTTTAGTAGTTTAGTTTTCCCAGTTCAGGTTATCTTTAGTTTTGTTTGCCATTTTCAACTTCTGTTTTGTCTTACTATAAACCTCCTTCACACCTCCACGAGTGCCTGCAACTGGCTCCTCCTTTATTTTTCTCCACACGTGACAGTGAGAAGGAGTGTCCAAACTTTTGCCTGGCAGTGTAATTCTAGATCAGTAAGATTTGTCTTTAGCACATTCTCACAGACAAGGTCTAGACCTTTTCACTACTTAACTACATTTGTCAATTAACATATTGCTGAAATTCATATTTTGATTTGCCTGTGATTAAAAATAAAGATGATCTGATATTAGCAAAAGCATACAAACTCTGTTGTAGCACTCTATAAAAGACTGGATGTTGTTGTTGATGTACACTCTCTCTAATGTACTGAAAGGTAAGCCGGGGGGAGTTAAATCTCTGTCTATCCCCACCCTTTTCAATAGTTGACATGGTGACACCTTCCCATTGAAATGCATTATGTAAAAATTAGTTCTCACTGATACAATCGTTCCACCTTGGAAAAAGAACAGTTCAAAGAAATAATTTAAAGCTCAAAACAACCATGCTATTGATGCAATTATTATAGGCTCAAATAATCTTGTTCAAAAGTTTTTATGACTGTTTTACATTGTTGGCCCCACACATTTTTACCAAAATAAGATCAAGATGGTCTGTTGTCAAGTTTTATTGTTCATTAGACTTCATCAGCCTGCTGCAGACACTTCTGTTGCCTTTACTGTATCCCAATGAATCAGTCATATTTCTAAACGTCTTTCTACATGTTTTATTTGGTTATTTGCTAACATCTTAAACATCTGTCTGTCCTACAGTGAGCCATATGCTGAAGTATTTGGGCACTGGAACCTCTGGAAACCCAGACATCGCAGAATTTATGTTTGTTTTAGAAGTTGATGACACAGAGGTGCTTTATTGTGACGCCAGCAAGAAGATAGTAGAACCAAGACAGGACGGTGTGAAAAAAATGCTTGATGACAACCCTGGCGCACAGAGGGAGTACACTCAAGAGTGTTTTGAGCATCAGCCAGGCATTTACCAAAACTCGATTTCTAATTTAAAGCAGCTGTTAAACCAAAGTGGAGGTGCAGTACTTTCTTTGATATATTATGTCATATTATTATGGATGTATCTAAACAAAACTGATTTATGTAAAATTAATTAAAATAATTATCATTTAAAATATTTACAGCCTTAATTTTGTGTTTCTTAATTAAGACCATGAAACCTGATGTAAAACATACATATTTACTTGTTGTAATTACTTAATTGTTCTAAATCTTAGTCTTATATTTAAAATAGCTAGGTTTTGTTATTGTCTTCAAACCTTTTAACTTTCTTTCAGGTTCTTACACTTTGTAGTCTATGTATCTATCAGCTGACTTCTGTGCTGAAACAGTCTTTACCTCTAGTGTTTAATCTTTTCTTTTAATATTGAATAATCACATCCGAGCTGGTTTTAAATCATCCACAATTCGAGTCTCCACAGTAGGCTCCATTAGATCAATAAAGGTTGTCAGAATCTGACTTGAATCATGATGAAAATGCAGACCTTTGAGGATGGAAATGTGTCACATGATCTACAATTAACACACATAATTGTAATATTTGTTTCTTCTTCTCTTTTCAGGTGTTCACATTTTACAGTGTATGATTGGCTCTGAAGTGAATGAAAACTCTGGAGAGGTAAAAGGCTTTTTACAGTTAGGTTACAATGGAGAAGGCTATCTGGAATTTGATCTAAAGACAATGTCGTGGATCCCACTGAAACCAGAGTTTAACATTGTCAAACAGACAATGGATGGTGACAGAAATCTAATTAAATACCTTGGAAACCTCTTCGGTACAATTCTTCTAGAGAGATTGAAGATGTTCTTGGATTATGGGAGCAGCTCCTTGAACAAAACAGGTAGAAGATATGTTGAAAGTCAGAGTTTTCCATGTTACAAAAGTGAGTCTCTTTTTACCTGGCCAAATCACTCTGATAACTCTCATGACACCAGAGGTTTACCCACAATGTGCAAATAACCAGAAAAAAGCTGATTTATTTACATGACATTTATATGAATGTTCATGGTTGAAAGAGATTTACATGAACACAATCCATGGTAAAATTATAGCACAATACAGCCTTATGCAGCTGCCGCAAAGCTGGTGACTCTTTGGCTCTAATTCAGAGTTTTCAATTGCATATTGATTTTTATCTTTAAATGTATTCTTTGATTTATTTAAAACTTTTCCAGCCACACATATATCCTACTGGTACTGTGCTGTTTTTCATCAAATATGTACACTACACATGCTTTACTCCTGACAATATATATTTTTCTTAATATTGCCAAATTAAATTTCTTCATCTTTCTTCTTTTTTCCTTTCTTCCCCATTTTTCATCTCATATTTACTTCCATCCATTATCACTCAATCTCTTTCCAATACTCCCTCTCTCCAGTTCTTCCCCCAGTGTCTCTCCTCCAGAAGACTCCCTCCTCTCCAGTCAGCTGCCATGCTACAGGTTTCTACCCTGACAGAGCTGCGATTTTCTGGAGGAAAGATGGAGTGGAGATTCATGAAGGTGTGGATCCTGGAGAGATCCTCCCCAACAATGATGAGACCTTCCAGATGAGTGTTGATCTCAATATTTCATCAGTCACACCTGAAGACTGGAGGCGATACAACTGTGTGTTTCAGCTCTCTGGTGTGAGCGAGGACATCATCATCAAACTGAATAAAACAATTATCAAAACGAACTTGGTGAACAACAAAACACATATTGATGCAGGTGAGAGATAAAAAATTTGATTAGTCTTGTTCAATTATACAAATTTGTCTATCTATCTTTCTATCTATTAGGGGTGCAACAATACTCGTATCAATATGTATCGAACAATAATTTTTTTAAAATTTATTTTATCAACTTTTCTTCTGACGATGCTGTCTGTGTTGAGCGCTCAGTGGATCTGCGTTCGACTACGCCGCCTAGGCTGCACTGTCGAGTGTAGATCCACTGAGTGCAGTGCAAGCTAGCAAGACAGAAGCTAAGCTCGTTGCAACATGGCAACTGCCTCAATGCTACCCGAAATTGAACCTCCCCCACCCTCATTCAGATCTGGTGTTTGGAACTATCTTGGTTTTCATGTGAAGCATGACCCTGATGGTAAGCGCGTCATGGACAAAAGTAAAACAATTGGTGGGAACTACTGCGTTAGCGCAGTTAGCTCGTTAACGTGTTGACGCCATCCAGCCCCACGCATGGGGCGATCCGCGGTAACTTGTAAACGGAGATTTGCCGCATTATGGCGTTAATGTCATTTTAACGAGATTAACGCTGACAGCACCAGTGGGAACACAACAAATATGACTGCACATTTACGCCGACATCATCCTAGTGCCAAGACAAGTGGAAGCAGACAAAAACAACAAGCACGCATGCTACAAACTTTACCCGAGACATTGGGCAGCCGTTAGCACATGATTCTCCTTATGGGGACCTGATATGTTTAATATGCTGCTGAGAATATAGCCCAGAAGAAGCGTATAGTATAGCTTTTATTTTGGAAAGAGCCATTTCTCTGTAATAAACTCTCTTTTCCAAAGATGAGTGATTTCTCAATCAGATAGATTTATTTATTATTTTGTTGTTTCAGCAACATTAAATTTAAAAACTGTACTTTTGAGTTAAAATATATATTTATAATTTAAATAAATGACAAATTAAAAAGGCATGAACATTTTTTTGTATCGAAAACATATCAAACCGTGACACCAAAGCATCGAACCGAACCGTGAATTTTGTGTATTGTTGCACCCCTATTATCTATCTATGCATATATGTATATATACATATACACATACACGCACAATATGTTCACAATAAATATGTAATTATTAATACTGTGGAATAAATGTATTTCTATTTTAACTTGCTTCATCTGCCACTTTTATCATGTTTTTTTTTTTTAAATTGTGCAGAGTTGCCCATCATTATTGCAGCCTTTGTTCTTGTTTTGATCATCATTGTTGCCATTGGAATTGTTGCTTACAAAAAAAAGAAAGGTAAGAAATTGAAATGAGCAGACTTTCCCAGTCAAATGATAGCAGCAGTGCAATACTCAGTTACATTATTTTTGAGAAATACACAAATAAAGTTTAATTGTCAGATTTTTTAAAAAGTGGCAAAAACTTAAATGATGTTTTTCCCTTTTAATTCAGAAAGCCATCCATCACCTTGTAAGTACAATGTTATTTTTCTCTGATCTGCCATGCATTCTGGGGTTTAAATAAATAATTTTACTAATACTGTTCCTTTTATTATTAAATATTTAAACTGAACAGCTCCTAGCATCATCATAGAATTGAATGGGAGATCTGGTACAGAATCACCGGACTCAGCACAGAGATCTGGTACAGAATCACCGGACTCAGCACAGAGATTGGCTACAGAATCACCAGACTCTGCACAGAAATTGGCTACAGAATCACCGGACTCTGCACAGAGAT